CTGAGGAAACTGGGGAGTGTGGGAAGGCTTGGCTGTCATTTCTTGTGCTCTCTCTATCTAGTGGACATCAGCCTTCAGTGTTGTTAGTGTGACATCTTTCAATGGCACAACTTTCTACCACTGAATCTTGGAAGCAAAAGCTCATAATTGCCTCATATGTCACATTAGTTCTGAAGAACTAATGCAGAACTAAGTTGTTCTGCATTCACAGATCTTGAGTAAATTGCTTAGACTATATTCCACTACTAAGATGGTTATTTGGGCAAGGTTTTCTACTTCCAGCTGAGATCACACTGCAGTGATTTACAAAAAGGCGTAGGAGAAAAAAATGTCCTGGTGAGTGTGAGAATAGGCACCTTGGGATGCCTTAGCACCTACTCATGGAGGCATATATCTTAAAGTTCCAAACTGTTAACAAAAAGGACTTCATTCATAGCAGCCCAGATAACCAATACCTACCAGCGCATCCAGCTGAGCAGAAAGGCATAGAGTACTAAGGTGTGAGATGATTAAAGCTGAACTAGAGGTCCAAAAGAAAAGGGATAGTTTATCTGCTTACACAGAGCTTTTATGTCTCCGTAGTTCTGACTGCAGTCATCTTATTTTACTTTTCCCTTAGGGTCAATGGAGTTCTCTACAATAGTCATTATGGGGAAAAAAATAATTGTGGAGTGAACTTCAAATGATTTTGCTAATGGCCTTGACAGGGGGAAATTCATGAGGGTGGTTGCCTGCTATCCCAGTTCTTTCTGCAGAATGTTGGCTTTTGGTTAAAATTGTTATACTGCTAGTCCTCAAAGGGTGCACTGATAATATGAATTTTCAACTGTGAACAAATGTGAAATGTAGGAGTGGTGTTTTCTTGTATCTGTAGTCAGACAGACTGAAACATTATCTGTGAGCAGCATAACTTCCTCTTATCTCAGAGACAGCCTAGAATTCACTGTCATCAGTTAATTCATTATAAAGGCATTACACGCTATTAGGCAGGGGATGAATAATAGCTAAAACACATAGAAACCTCTAGACGTTGTAAAGATGCCAAAAACCAAGTAGTTTGCACTTAAGATAGAAAAATATATGTAAAAAAATAAGGAAAAAATCCAACAACATGCTACATAAATTTGCCTCCCTCAATTCCTAACAAAATCTTAAGCATTTGTGTTCAGATCAGGGTCATCTGAAAAACACAGGATCCCTGCTTCTGCACTTGTCTTCTCTGAATCAGGGCCAATTTTTCTTTCCTACCCTCTGCTTCTCTCTCCCATAGCCAGCCCTGCAGCTAACCTTTGGCTAAACTCTCTTTTCTCTGGTGCTCTCTCCCCAGCAAGCTTCCAGTGCCACTGGGTCCTTTTCAGATTGTCACCTCTCCAAGTCTGATAACTACAAAACTAGGAACTTGGTGTTAAGGTTTATCCTTTAGGTTTTGTAGGTAAGAAAATTCCACTGCTTCAGTCTTCCTCCTTTCAAATAAACTAGGCTGGATTGCTTTGTATAAGCTTTATTTCTTCCAGTGTCTTAAGGTGCATTGCTTAGGTAAGGTTTAATGAAATAAACCTTGTCCTAAATACAGGTGACTCCACATATGCAGAAGCATTCAGTAATCCATAGAACACATAATTTATATATTGTCAGGTTTTCTGAATTGTTTGACTTACTGTAATGATAACTCGTTGACTGCTTTCAACTACTAAACAATTGTTCAGGTTTGTGTTCGGGTTTTGCTTTGTGGACAGAGGAATTTTGTAGGTAACTTTTGTTTCTTTTTTAAAGTTGTGTCAGCACACGAAGTCTGAAGTAAAAGGCCTGACAAAGATAGGGGAAAAAAAAAAATCTGAGACTACCAAGGCCCACAAATAGAGCAATAACCTCAAATGAAGAATAAAAAATAATAGGTTTATTATTATTTAATGCACCAATCAAAAGTGTACTACTTGCTTCAGAGCACAGCGGTGCTTCTTGCAGTGTTCCCTGGCAGATCTTTTGTCCCAAAGTCACACAAACCTCGTTACGTGTTATGTTATTTTGATTTAGATTAGATAAAAAGTTCCTAGACATCAGCTCAGAGCACTTGGCCAGTTACTTAAAACTATAAAACTCAAGTGCAGTGCAATCAGTTTAACTTTTCTACTGAGTAGCACACACAGTCAATCTAACATTAGTGGCCCCTTACGACTTAGTCCACTTACTCCTTCTTCAAAGATGAGGTGAAACACAGTCCTTATGTTGCCTTGCAAACTGGTCGGAAGCTGATCAGGGTAGCATGTGTTGGTGTTCACCTACGAGGCAGTAGCTCCCAAGAGTCGTTTTGCCATGTCTGAACTCAAATATCTTCCTATATGCAGTCTGGTAATAGGACTAAATCAAACAGTAACTTGCCACCAGCTTTGCCAACCTCAGATGTGCACAACTTTTTATTTTATATTTTTATTTCAGATGGGTCGTGGAATTGTCATATTACCATTTTCAGCAGGGAGTTGGGGTGTTATGAATATAGTAAATACATCAAGATAGACCGGGGGGAATCAGCAATGTTAGTAAGAAAACATGACTTGTCCAGCTGTGCAAACCCTGAGGAGATCATCCCAGAAAAAGTCTTGGACTTGGCACTTTGTAACAAAACATGGATGATTTTTATAGTAAACCAATACATTTCAAGTAGGTATATATTTCAGCTCAAGGAGCTAGCTTGTTGTATAGTTTCTGACATGATTTTCTTACTGCCTTTTACATACCAGCAGAAATATGTACTACTGAGAAGACAGTAGTGGAATTTACTGGCATTTAAGGCTGTATAAACACTGAGCTGGTCTTACTAGTTGCTGCAACCTGCAGTCTGAGGCAGTTAGGCGATATTTTCTTTCAGATCCTTTCTCTGACTATGCTTTTTCTTCTAAATGTTGTGTAGAAACAGTTCATCTGTCCTCATGAATACAGCTACAATTGTTCAGATGTGCAAAAATGCTATCTTTTTTGTTAATTTTGAATTTTAACTTTGGCTCGATTTGCATTGTAATTGTAAGTCTGGTGATAACGCAGGTTGAGTGTTGTGTGGGCGAGTATGGGTGCTGTTTTTCATCTGAGAGTATCTACACAATACCCTCCTGCTGTCCAGTAATAGGAATGCAATATAATCGCATCCAAATGAGTTTTAGTCTTTCTAGCTTGGCTATCAGCAGCTGAGAAATAACACAATTTCGGTTCCATGCCTTCTAAGCTGGCTGGAGAAAGATAACTCAATATTTTATTGTACTTCTAATTGTAGCATGGCTCTGTCCTTAATTTTGACTTGTCTGTATTTTTGCACCCATGATGTTCAGGCTTTTCAAATCTGTCATTAACTTTTTAATAACTATGTGCTTGAAAGTTCAAGTTCCAAACTTCAGAATCTGTGCTGAGACATATATCAAACTCAGATTTATCCATAAGCTTTGCTAACGGTAAAGATAGTAAAATGGAAAATTTCTGCAGGACAAAGTCTGCAAGCAAATGTAAGATATTCTGTCCAAATGTATTTAAACCAGGACAGCTATTTATATAGGTAACAGGAAGTGTGTACACCTGTATAACTCAACAATGGAAATTAAAAATGAGGTTTTCATTTCTATGGCTCATTTTTCATTAATTCTCACCATTCATGTAAATGTGAAACAATGGAAGAGAACCCTCAGTGAGCAGGTCTTTATATCAGGGAAATAGTTTTGAGTCAGAGGGTGAGAAATGTACTTGTTAAGGGGGACTGCTAAACAATACCTGCACGATTTCATGATTTCTATTTTCTAAACCACTCAAGCTGGTGTTTGTTTGAGAAAGCCAAAGGGACTCTCTGCATTGAAGAAATTATTAAATAACAAACATTTTTAAAAATACAATCAGGTAGAAAGTTATTTCAGAAAAATATCTTAGTATAAGATATGTATCTTTACTGTAAAGGAATGTCTTGCTAATTAGGACACTGGATAACTCTCACTGTGTTTTGCCTTGTTTCAATTTGATTTCAAATGAACATTTTTGAGCAGTAGTTTAGTTTGAGGGTTTTTTACCATCTTTCAAGCATTTTTATTCCGCGTGATTATGTATATATATATAGAGAGAGAGATAGAGAGCCTTATTAAGGTTATGTGGAAATATGTCTTCTTTAAAAACACATCAGCTGCATTCCAACTTGCTCCCTTAAAATTTGGTAGCGCTGATGCTCTGGGAAGTGGTGGTAGAATGTGTTGCAATTGTTGTCTTTGGTTAGGGACCTTGGTTTCAGGTTAATTTATCTTTTCTTATGCTTTATATCTAGCTGTTTTTTTAATGCTGCTTTGAACAAAGAAGTTACTTTATGAAAATCTGAAAATGAAGTGTTCCATATTTCTGGAATATAATTTTTCAGATAAAGGTGTTTAATTGAACCATTTTGGTTTTTCCAAAATTTTGTCTTTTTCAGTCAAAATACTTTCTGGAATTTGACCCACGTGTGTATTGAATGTTTTTGTCCTTTTGAACCTCTTATTTCTCAGCAAGCATATAATACTGTGTTGTTGAATAAGAACCATCTGCTCCTCACATGTGAATCAGCTGGGGCTACGCTTTGGCACAAAATGGGAACTAAAATGCTGTAGCTTGATTGTGGAGGAAATAGGGAATAGGAAAATTGTGTTTTCTTGCATACGTTTCTAAAATATATTTAACTATATATTAATTGTCTTTGAATTAAATCCTTCTGTTCTTGACTGTCTTCCCAGACTAGAGACTGGCAGACGGCCCTATCCAGAACAAAAGAAACACGTGCTTATCTTTTAGTGTGGTTTTAAAATTAGTAGGACCTGTAGCTCATCGATCTTCAGCATTTGTTCAAGTTTACCACGCACGTAGGCATTGCCTTGAAGTGCCGAGTCCTTGCAAAACGTGGCTGCCTTTGAAACACATCCCTGCCTCAGGATGCTGACATTAAAGGAAAACACAACCTCAAGTACATTCTGACAGCAGCGTTTTGTTTCCTTCTCTTGCAGATGGGAAGCCAGTGTCACTGTCTCCACTTGAATCCCAGCCCCACAGTCCTCGGTACACGGCGTCGAGCCAGCGAGAGCGCGAGAGCTTGGAAGTCCGCATGCGGGAGGTGGAGGAGGAGAACCGCGTGCTTCGCAAGCAGCTCAGCCTGGCACAGAGCCGCAGCCCTTCGCACCACCGCGGCAATCACTCCAAAACCTACTCCATGGAAGAGGGGACAGGCGACAGCGAGAGCCTGCGGGCTGGCATTGTGGCAGGGAACAGCTCTGAGTGTGGACAGCAACCGGCAGTGGAAAAATGTGAGGTAAATAAACAAAAGGAACCTGCCAGCAACAAAGCTCGATAGATTTGATATTTGAAGGATCCTTGCAGATCCCTATCTCCATCCCCCTGAAACTTTCTGCTCAGAAACCAGCCTCTTAAAGGAGTACTGGGTACAACTTTTTAGATACTCATTAATTCTTTCTTTAAAATTACTTAAAAACATTTAAAGTTTTTGAGTAGTTATTTGATGAAATTTTTTTGTCTTTTTTGTCCTTGTGTCCCCAAACCTGGTGTAAAAACCAAAACCTTATTCCAAGCTGATATCAGTACATCTGTGCTGATAAAGACCTGTGTCAAACTGACCCCGTGTATTTCCAAATTATATGAAGGCACCACAGCATTTTGAAAAGCCTTATTCCGTTGTCTTTGCATCTGTACTAGAAGAGTTCAGAGTTTAGCATTAAGTCGTGGATTATGGAGCCAGCCTGTGCCTTTGAGTCACTTTCAGGAGTGTATCCGGATGCTACTGTGAAACCACCTGCCCTGCCTTAGCGATGTGGTTAGCTGCAAAGAACTGGAGTTCTGTTTCTAAGAATCACAGAATGGTTTGGGTTGGAAGGGATCTTAGAGATCATCTAGTTCCAACCCCCAGGTTATGCGGGGTTGTTTTGGTTTAGTTTTCCCCATTCTATGCCAGTAGCCTTGTGGATGTCATCCAGCTATTTAGTTGTCAGATACCTGAATGATGACAGTTCCAAATACGGATAAATCCAAAAGAGAAAGTCTTGCTTAAAGGCCTTGTGGCAATCCCAGCTGGTGAAGATATCAAAAATAATTCCTCCATTTATATCTACAAAGAGGATAATACCGTATCACCTTTCATCTTGCTTTCTGCCACAGGAAAGATAGAAGTTGAAAGAAAATAAGTGGGATAGAAAAAGAAGTCCTAATTATCTCTTTAGATAAAGTCTATTTAATGGGCAAAAATCAAATATCCTTTAAAAATGAATTACTGCTTTCCAGTTGGACATCTTTGTCCGTCAGTGTGGAAAAAAAGGAAGTAACATTATTTAAGGAGAGGGAAAACGTTAACTTAAGGAGAGGGAAGAGGAGGAGTCTGTTTTTCATTTTTCCTCCTCCTAATAATGGGAGTCTGATTTTTCTCCCTGTGAGCATTTTAGCATTTCTTTTAATAAGGGAAGGTTCAGGCCATCAATAAACAAACCTCACTTCTCCCTTATCACGCCAAGCAGTGATGAGCTGAATCTCAGTTCTTGGTTGTTCAGTGTACCAACCAATCTGGGACACAAAAATAGCAGTTTAAAGGAGGAATAGTTTTAAGTGGCCTTTCAGTTTATAATGTGTTTTGCCAATAAATTTACTTGCTCACTGGGGTTTAGCATTGTGCTGGAGGCAATGGTTATATAAAATACAAAACCTCACTTGCCATCGCCCTATCTCAGCGCACACGATTTTGATAACGAAATAGCTTTTTCTTCTTTTTCTTAAGGAATTCACTCAGTAATTTAGTAACAGCAATGGAAGTTAAAATTAAACTTCCTTATTATCAGATTTGCCAGGGGTTTCATCGTTTATCCTATTACTGTAGATTCTGATTCTGTGTTTGTGTGAGTGGTATCTTGACTCCATTCACGCTCTGTTTTCAGTGTTTCAGAGGTGTAAACTAAATCTTTTTTAGTCTCTGACCCTGGAATATATCACAAGAGTCAACAACTTGGGTAGAAAATGACAAGGGTCCTGAGAAGAAGACTGGGGCTCTGGGGGAGACAAAACTAGGAATAGGTTGTTTATTTCACTGAGTCAGTTATTTGAGATTTACTGAAGGTAACATTTCAGAATCTAATTTGGAATGGTCTTTAGTGATGATTAAAGCATTTGAAAATGCAGTTACAATGAATGAACATTAAATCTCTGATAAAGCAGCATGTGTGTGATAATAATCGTGATCTATATCGAACAGTAGCAGGTTTGTTGCATTCCAGCCACCGCTTCCTACCGTGTTACCTCGCAGGAAAGCTCCTCTGATACTATAAAATGGACCAGCATTATATTGCAAGAAAAAATTCAGAGTTCCAACCAAGGGCCTTCTCCCTGAAGGGAGCAGACCCCTGTCATACCTTCCCAGCAGGAGACAATTTTAACACAAACCTTGGAAATATAAGTAAGAGCAGTCCTTATAAAGACATAGGCACAAATAACAGGCTTCAGAAGGAGAGCATAATGCTGATGGCAGCTAACAATTACATGACTCTTTCTTACAATGTTATCTCGTAATCTTTCCAGCTTGTACATCCATAAACTGGGTATTTAGTTTGAATTAAGTGTGCATTTATAAGTATTTTTCAAAGAGATTTTATATTAGAAAGTGGTTAATTAGCAGCATAGCATTTATTAGGTTAGAAGAATACTTAAGATTTGAAGCATTTTTACAGGCATATTTGTATGGTTACTATCCTCAATGGTGTTGCTCAATAAGGTTAAGTGTGTAGTGTTCCAGAGCCTCAAAAACCAGGTCCCCACCAACCTGAGCACTGTAACACAGGAAAAGCAGATGTTACCTGCCTCTGGGAACCATTTGTAGCATATTTACATTATTGTGACATGCTTTTAATATCTCTTAATCACATTCAACAATTATTTATGAAGGATTAAGTAACTGCAATGGAAGGCCGGGCTAGTGCTACTGGAAAATAATTGAAGTATGAAATGCTTTACCAAAGATTATTTTTAGCTATAAGAACTAATTAGAGTTTGTTAAGCTCATTATTTCAGCATTCCAAAAAGTAGCCTGAGGAGGAAAAAAAATAACATCTGTTTATCTAGGCACTCTATACTCCTCATCAGCATGGGATCTAAGGCTCAGTTCTTCATGTGGTTTTGGATATTTTCTTTCCGTTAATATTACTTCAGAATGGACTTAGATGAAATACTGATTGCAGAAACAGTTTTTTTCTGGTCTGTAGTGGCAGTTTCTAAACTATGTTAGCATGCACCTTGGTATTATTTAAATTCCCTTTCCTAAAGAAGCTTAAGTTCCTTACGTGCCTTGAAGTACCTGGGCCTGAGTGCTCCCCAAACTATTTAAAATAAAAAATAGTTCTCTTTGTGTCACTGATGCCCAACCTGTAGGAAGAACAGCGTGATTATCTTCCACAGTGTTTTGATTGCCTATTCATATGTGTATGTATAAACAGAGGAAGAATTCATTGACTCTGGAAGGCAAGGTGTATCATCATTTAATCTGTTGCTGCAGTGAGTTCCATTATCTAAAAGCAGCCCCAGTTAATGGCCTGTGTCCAGACGTCTGGCAACACCTACTGGTGATGAACATGCCTATCATTCAGTTTAAAAAGAGCTTTGTAGGAGGATGGACACTTTCAAGGAGCGCAGTTTAGTCCCACAGTGACTTGTGACTATCCAGGCTAGAGTCTGACAACTAGAATTGCCACAGGTTGTAAACAGGGAGGAGCAAGTGTAGCATGCAGAGCCTTGGGGTGAGATGTTCAGAGGGACTTGCTGAGCCAAGCATACAGGCTGCCGCATGTTGTGGAAGTTGGAACATCCTTGGTTTATCTGGCTTCACTTCCAGTTTTTAGCTGCAGTCACTGAGCCCAGAGGTTGTGTGAATCACAGTGGCCAGTTCTGGGGAGATGGGGATACAGTCTTCTAGCTATCTGCAGATGGAAAATGAGGAGTTTGAGAGCTGCGATGCTGCTGACCAGTTTCATAATCTGCTAGCTGATGCATACAGTAGTATACTCAGGAGGATGCCAGTTCTTTGAAGTACTTCTTTCTCCCAGCCACCACTGTCCTGTCTTGCCAGGATTTGGCTACAGCCAGCTGCTCTCTCTCCAAACATGTATTTGGAACAACCATGGAGAGAACTGGAAGTAAAACTTTTTTCGTCAGGATGCAAACATCTGCAGACAATTCAGGTTGTTGAGCCCATGTTGACTTTTCAATTTTTCCACTATTTTGTTTAACAGTTAAACAATGAGGGAGAGGAAAGTGAATCAAGAAAAGGAGGAACAGGCTGAGTCTTGCAGCAAGCTGGAGGCAAAATCTTTGGGGAAAAAAAAGAACTAGTTTCTGTTCTCTTTGAGGATTACTGCTCTTTTCTGTAGCTGATTGCAGGCAGGAATAGAAGCGATAAACAGTGTCAACCACAGAGCTGCTGGGCAGAAGTGCCAGTGTCTCTGAACTGCAGAAGGACGTTCATAAGAACCGCCAGAGCTGTCTTCTCACTGTGCCCTGGCTGAAACAGCATGCAAGGCGACAGCGCCTGCTAAAAGGCACCAAGGAAAGCATCCTTTTAATTTTGAAGAGTCATTTAGGAACAGGAGAACAGATGTGGGAAGTCCTTGACAGAATAATCTCTGGTTTTGTGGGGATTGGGAAGGTGTCGAGAGGCTGTGAGGAGAGCTTTTCTGACAAGTGGAGGTAGTATAAAACAATGTTGACAGTGATATGACAGTGCTCTTCTGTCAAAACCCATAAAATGTTTGTGTCTGGTCCAGTGTCTACAGGTGGAGTGTTTAAAGCAGGCATGAAATCATTCTCAATTAATTTGATTTTAATTGGCATTGAAGGGAAGTGGTTTAGGTCTTCAAAAAGCCTGAGAAAGACCAGGTGGCAACCAGAGAGGAGGCAGTGCATGCAGTGTCGGGGATCTGTCCACCCACAGGAACCCATGCCTGTATGTATTGTGCAAACCACTGCTGCAATAACAGTTGTCAATAAACAGCCTCTGTTCTCTCCTCCTGTTGTTATCACAAGAGAGAAACACAATCAATTTTTGCAAATTGCTGAGCGTGCTGCACTCCCATTGACTTTAGCATAAACTTAAAGTGCTGAATACCTCACAGAGCTATTGCTAAAATATACTGCAGTACCTTTTCTTTCTCACACCTCTCTGGACAGACAGTTGCCTTTATTAATTCAAGTTGTCTTAAAACCTCAGATCTTCCATGTGCCTCAGCTTGTGAGGCACACCAGGGCTGGAGGCAGCTGCGATCTTCATGTGCACAATGGCACAGCCACTTGGCAATTAGGTGATTCAAATTGTGCCCTGTACCAGGCGATGTTAATGGCTGGGGCTCTGGACTCTTCAGACGTGCCCAACACATGCTACCTCTGGTGTAAATCTGCTTCTTACAAGCCAGACTTTGGGAATCTATGACTATGTGAGGAGGCAAAATTCCTCATTTGTTCTTTGCGTAGTGGGCTTTCTGTGGAAAATGAGAGCTGTGTGCGTAAGAAACCAGCTAAGCAAGCTTCAAATGGAAGCCAAATGAGGCTTCCCCGCAGGTTCACAGCTGTTTCCCCAATCGCAGGTTTGTGCTGCCAGCATGGTGAACATTCCTTCATTTCTGTGGCCACTGAGAAACAGAAAAATACACAAGCTGGAGTCAAAACCTGCTAGGATTAATTTTCTTTTGTCCCCAGGGAATAGCAATGGCTAATTTTAAAACGAGAAAAGAGTAACATAACAGCATTTTTCAAATTATTACATACTACCTTAATAATAATGACTAGTAGCACCTTTTCAATTTTTCCTTTCCTCTTGAAGAGACAAATAAACCTCTGCCTCATTTTAAAAAGGAGGGAAGAAGGCACAGAATAAGTGAGACTTTACCAAAGTGCAGGGATGGGGAGAATGTGTGTGTTGGTGATGGTTTTAGTTCACATTAACACTACCCAATACAGCCCGTACTTGTAGTCACGGGCAGGGCAGTGACCATCTGCCTTCACCAGCCCATGTCCCGTCTTGTCACTGGGATGCAACCAGCCCCTGGCAAACCAATTGTCCCACCATGCTCATTCATCAGAGCTTGCTCACCCTCTCCTTCACAGCTGTCCTTAAGACAGAAATAATGCAAAATTTCTAAAAGCTTCTGCTTCTAATTATCAGATGTAATTTTAAACTCAGGTTCAGGAGGTTAAAGCATCTGCATGTTCACATGCTCAGAATTTTGTGTGCTGCTAAATGGGTATGGGTGGGTGTGTGTACACACGCGCACACATATGCTCTTAGCTAATAAATGTAATTCTGTTCAGATATCTGATGTAATTTAGGGATAGTAATGACTTTGAAATGATGATGGTATTATAACTCAATTAAGATGTTTTTAACAAAATGCCTCTAGTGGGCTGCAAACAGCTGCAAAACACCCACTCAAATCTTTAACAATCGCCGCACTAAATAACAGCACTGTCATGTATGTGCTCTCCTTAATGAATGACAGAACACAGGAGTAGGCTTTAATTTTTTGCTCTTTTTGTTCCTTTTTTCCCACAGACCATCCACGTTGCCATTGTTTGTGCAGGGTACAATGCCAGTCGGGATGTTGTCACGCTTGTCAAGTCTGTCTTATTTCACAGGTAAAAGCAGCTTTCTTTTCTTGTATATTGTATATCTGATTATGGCTAAATAAGCTCGTTCTTGCATTTACTCTCTTACTTCAAAAGAAAGTCAGATTCCCTTGCCTGGTTGCTTTTTCTTTGGAAGGAAGGAAGGACGAAATTTGTGACTGCCACAAATAGATTCACTTCTGTAAAGATTTCTGCAGTGAAGTAGAGGCATCAAAGATCCACTTGCTACTCTTGTTACATTGTGGGAATAGTGACACTCTCTATCTGCACTATGAAACATCTGTACACTCCTGAGTGTTGTAAAATAATAATAGCAATAGCAGCATTGTATTCATTTAGCCTATTTCTGGTATCAGTTCATGGCACAGGTGTAGATGGTAATTTGAAAGCCATCAACATAAATACACACTGGTTACTTGACTGTCCCAGCTTCCCATTTAGACATTTATTTTTCAAAATAAATCTGTTACTATAGCCAGTATTACTTCATTAAAGTCAGATTATTTATTCTGGCTTTGGGAGAGCTACTTGCAGCCCCTCAGAAGGCTTTGCAACCTGGTTTTAGCACATGAAGCACAGTTAGATCCCAAAATCGAGAGGCATAAATGTACAATGAAGACAAAATAAACTAATTCCTTAATAAACAGCAGCTCCAGAAAAAGAGAAATGCTATTAAACTGTGTGTGTGGGCATATGTGTATATCCCTTGTCCATTTTAGTAATGTCTCTCTGGGATGTTTTCCAGCAGTGTTGCAGAAAGTGGATCAAAATAGGAAAGTGAGAGACTAATCAGACTGTTTGACTCAAACAGGACAAATATACCAAGAAAACATGCACAGAGTGTAAGATTTTACTAAGGAGGTAGTTTCAATACACTGCTTTATATTGAATGATAAGTTATACCAGGGAGGATGACTCTTAGTCATGTTATGTGCTAATATATTCTTATAGCTCGCTGGAGTGGGGCATTCCAGTCCTCCACCTTGCTCCTTATGTTTCCCTCCAGTCCTCTGCTGAAACAGTTAGTAATCACTCCTTTACAGTGGTTTTAGTACACCATTTTAACTTTTACCCATTTTTGGTAAGCTTCGTAAAAGAATATAAATGATTGCCTTGTAAAGTGTGGAAAAAGACTCAGTGAATATTGTTTAAGAGGTTGGCTAGAGTGCAGGTGGAGAGGGGAAATTCTCCAAAATATGAGAGCAACTTTCACTATCAACACATACCCTTTGCAAGTCTTTCCAGAAGTAACATGTTCATGTTACATGAGGGCTAGGGGCAAGAAAAACAGTGCTAAAATAAACATAACGAAATGACAATAAAGACCTGTATCATACTCTGTGCAGAATTTTTCTGAATGTTAAAATCCTGTTAAATTTTAAAACTATATCTATTTCCAATTAGACTTCTGAATTATTCAGTGTAAACTGGCTTTATATTCCAAGGATGAGGGGTGATTTGTCTGTTCTGATTGTTGTTTCTAAGGGATTTCTTGCAAATATGCATTTTTATGGTGACATTACTTATCCTAGTTTTTAGGTTCTTTGCGCTTTTCTCTCCTAGTACTTGCATCCATTTTGAGAAGACTCTAATATTCTCTAAGTTTCCAAATGTTTCCAAATGTGCTGTAAATAATAGGAATCTCACAGCTCAAAGGTTTAAAAACTCCTGGTCTGTGTTACTTAAAGGAAATGTCCCTGGTTTATATAAGATGTTCATCTGAATAACTAGTAAACTTATAAACAATTCCTCCATATAATGGCAGAATTCTGTAACTTGGAAATATATTTAACTAAAATATGAAACCCAAACAAAAGGGAAATAACATTGATATTTCTAAATCTGGTGGATTCTGCCCTTGTCAAGAACATACTTTCTCTTTGGCTGGCGATGCTACTCATCTCAAAGGATTTGTCTAGCTCAACAGAGGTGATCAAGATGAAGTCCAGTAAAGCTAATGAAACTTTAGTACAGTGAGTTACATTCAAGATAACCTGTCTTGCTTGTTTGCTGAACACGTACTTAAAGACAAATCTAAGTCCATTCCTGCCTAGAACTAGCTTTTCTCAATAGGCATTAAATTGTTTGCTGGAAAAGGAAGATGTTCTCAAAGAAGAGGCAGAGCTTCTTACAGATATTTCTTCCTTATCTTCTAGAAAATACAGGCAACTTAAGTATCTGTTGATGCTACAGCTGTATGTGCAGAGGGCCATGCCTCAGAAACTCTCCTTTCTTGGATCTTTATCTTTAGAATGTCAATGGTGAAAGAGATTAGAGAATAAAACTAAACAAATAAACAAAAAAACTCAGTCACAAATTGATTTAGAACCAGGATTTCTTGCATTGATTGCCACGTGCAAACAATGTTATCTTGGAGACTGGTATGCACTTCAAAAAGTATGATCATGGAATCATAGATTTGCTCTGGTTTGAAAAGACCTTTAAGATAATTGAGTCCATCCGTCAACCTAGCACTGCCAAGTCTATCCTAAACCATGTCCCTAAGCACTACATCAACTCATCTCTTAAATACCTCTAGGGATGGTGACTCCACCACCTCCCTGGGCAGCCTGTGATTGCTAGGATCTATTTAAGTGCAGGAAAGAAGGATGGAGACAGTACTGCATTAGGAGGAATGAGTTAGGGGACTTGGAGATGGTTGGTTCAGATGGTGGATGCTTCATGACATCAGTAGCAAGTTCACAATCTGACTTGAGGGTCATCAATGAAAACAGGCATGGAGATGTGCACCAGAAAATGCTTTTTAGCTAGCGTTTTTCAATAAGCCAAGCTAAACAGACATTTGAAAGAACCATATGTTTCCACTAGAGAAGGATTTTGCTTTTTCTATCCTAATCCCTGAAGTTAGGCTACTGGTCCTTTATTTGTAGCATCATCACATTCAATCTCAAATATAGTTTTGCAATAACAGAATGAACATGCCTCCAAACATATTGTCAGAGATTTTCTTTTTCCTTTTTTGAAGTTTCTGATGATCAACCAAACCTGGTACAGCAGGTGCAGACTTTGTCTATAACAAGAGTGTAAGAGAGTGTATTGTATAATTGAAAGATGCCTGTCTGGAAATCACAGCTGTTATTATGTAGCCACGCACAGTGTGGGCTCTTCGTGTGTGTGTGTACCCTTACACCTCAATCCTGCCCTACAACACCCTGAGTACAATCTACTGCTTAAACAACTGGGCCCTCAAAGCAACACACTTAATATTCTCATCTGCTCCTGCTGCACATCATTTGGTGTTGGTTGTAAGAGCACCAATTAAAGTGAATCTGCCTGGAATTCATGGAGATGTCGTGTTTTTATTAGCATTTCTGTGTAGTTTAGTAATTAAAGCATGTTTTAGTTGTGAATTTTGATACAAAAAGCGGTACCTAAATTCTCTCCTTCTGTAGGGAATCCCTTCTTCTTTAATAGAAAAATGCTGAGAAAAGGAGGCCATATCAGTCTAATCATCTTCCCTCCATGCATGGAGATATTTGTTATACCCCCAACTTTGAGCTAGAGTGCTAGGTAGAGCGACACAAAACAGCAGGGATGCAGGGTCATTAAGAGTAAAAGCTACAGGAGCTTCTATAGATATATAGTGCTGTCTCTTCTCTCTTGCATGCACATACAGCGAATCCTGCATATTGAACGTTTCAGCTCTCCCCAGGTCTAAAAAAGCAAGTTTCTGATTCTAGTCATACCATATATATTGTGAGATTTAGGCAAACTACTTGTTCGAACTGTTTGAGAAGCTGTATCTGTCGTTGGGTTCCAGAGAGTGGGAAAAGGAGAGGGAAGGGGTGGTGTGGTTGATTCCTTGTAAGAAAACCATAGTTCAGAAATGCATTTCGTTCCCAGTGGAAAAGGAGCTTGATTCCAGTTTTGTCTTCAGAAAATGTATGCTGAAGCCACAAAATCCCAGCAGCTTTTAACACCCAGTTTGACATAACTGACAGTCTGTTCTCAGGAGGAGTCTCAGCAGAGCTGGGATAGCGTAAGGTTTGCAGACTCTTGATAAATATGCATTGGCAGTGCTGCACAGAGGGAGGGAGGCTTGTAGAGTGAGTACTTAGTCCTGGTCTGCAACTTGCCTGCTTTCCTCTCTGGGGCATCTAGTTCCTAATTATGACACATTTTCTAAATCTGTTGCAGAGGTGAAAAATGTTCTCCCTGAGCCAGTTTAACAGAGCCGAGCTCGTATCACTGTGTCCTAAGCACAGCTTAACTTTAGTTTTTTCCACAGCAAAAGACTAAACACTAAAAATTAAAGATATTGGGCCAAATGGGCAAAATGAAATGCAAGTGTTTTTGGAAACAGGGCGTACAGTAGTATGCAAAAAGCATCTGCATTTCTTTTTGAAAACTGAAGCAGTGTGCTGTGGTTAATAATGCTCCTTGAAACTTTTGCAGCTACTGGCACAAGTTATGTTGGTCATTTCCAATGTTTTATCCTATTTTTGAAAATTGGAAAGCTTACAGTGCCACAGAAAAAGCTCACGAGTTACAGTTTAATACTGGAAAGATCATTTCTGTCTCTACATAGGTAAATCTTAACCTGAGTAAGAACTAAAATGATTTTTAATGTACTCATGTCTTTTCCAAAGACATGCGAAACACCTTGTTTCCTTAGGAAACCAAGAAAGGCCAAAATTACACAGTTATACCATGTTGCTGGCAGTTAGGTCAACCTGAGAATCTGTGAAAAATTAACTTCTCTTGTGCCAGTGGATACTGGTGGCCTTTTTCCCCCCCCCTATTTTAGTCCTCCTTTGGAGAACTCATTGCAGTTACTTCTTTAGCTGAACATTCACATCTATCCTATAGTAATAGTGGCGTAGTAATGGAGTTTCATAGTGTAAACAAATCCAGTCAGCCAGACAAGTGCTCTCTGACATGAAGTAGTCTCTTTGCTTTAAGAAGGCTGCTTATAACTTTAAAGTTAAGCATATGGCTAAGCATTTTTAAGATTAGGATGTTAAATTGTGTTATGTGTGAATAATAAACTCTTTTTCTTAGAATAAGTAGAATAAGGCAAACCAAATGAAAATCTAAATTAAATAAAAAGGATGACATGTAATTTCCAAGTGAGAGTCACAAGTCAACACTGGCTGGTAATTAAAGCTTATGTAATCTAATGGCTGTATTCCATGGAGACCACTTTGCCTTAATGGAGTTAATTTGAGAATTTAAAACCTCTGATATTGTTTCCAACTTTTTTAACATGTCAATCTATCTTGTGGGAGATTTTTCTGGCAAAAACTATAAAGCATGGACTAGTTTCTCTGTACCACATGGATGCATCAATAGTATACACTTATTTCTGTATTTTTGAGCTGTCCTAACAATGAAGGCATAATGGACAAAGCAATGTTTAAAAACATCTGTCTGTGAAATCTCTTATTATTTCCCAAAGTGCTTCTATAAGTTAACACAAAACAAGAATGTCCATGAATGAAGGAGCTAGTACATCTTTAACATCTCTCCAGTAGTTTGGGGAGCATTTTAATCAATACTGGATGTGAAGGGGTATGAAAAATCTGTAACGATTTTCACATTAAAATTCTCCCTGTATGAGAAGAGGGATTGTCATATGGGCATTAGGAAAAAAAAAATTCCCAAGCTGCCTTTTATAATTTCTGTTTGAAGTTCTTGTAGCCATTTGTCACAGATATAAAAGGTATTACCTTGTTGTGCTTCCCTTAATAAAGTATAGGTTTTGGAAATAAACCCCCTGGGCTACTGACCTTTTTATATTCTTAGAAAATAAAATTCCTCTGTTGCAGAGGGGGAGCTGTGCAGCCAAGCAGCTGCTTTTTGAATTGCTAACAATTGAGCTATGGAATAATACAGAAGGGAAGAGCGAGTCTTGGTTCACTACTCCCTTTTTCAATTGCAGATCTTTGTATTTAACTCTGTGGAAGTGGCTGTTCGAAAAGAATGGGCCACAAATGCTTAAGCAAGCAGATCAAAACTCTGATGAAGAATAAGAAGTTTGGAAATGTAAAAATAAGACATCATGATTAAAAAAAGAAAAAAAGAAATGGGAGTAGACTCTTAAATTCATAGTCTGACTTTTAAAATTACTGACTTGTTTTCATTTTACTAAACTTTATAGGACCTCAGCAATTCTGAAAATGAGAGCATTCATTTAAGCTCCTATATTTAGGAGTAAGAGCCTATATTTAAGCATCCATGCTTGAAAATCTTGGCCAGCATCTTGTTGCATTCACTTTTGAGGAAAGCAATTTAGGAAAATAAATGTATGCTCTTTACGTATGGTTTACTTCGTCAAATAGTGTTCTGATTTAAGATAAGTGGAAATAATTTAATATGTGAAGGTTTGCAGTTTTCTAAATAGAGTGATTAAAACCTTGAGTTTCCACTTGATGGGAAATACCCATATTTTTGAATGGCATTCTTCCGCATTAAGACATTGGCGTGTCAGCATTTTCCATGTAGTAGAAACTGTGAAAAGTTGTAGTTGGTAAATTTCAGATGTTCAAAATACAGTTTTATTTCAGCTTTATAAACCTCCTATCCCAAAATGCCTCTGTCCTGGAAAAAGACCAATCTGAAGAATGGAATAGCTGTCACTGACACCAAATGGTGCAGCAAAACATCTAAGTCTAATGAAATGTAGCTTTCCGTGGAATCCTTCACAATATCCTGATTGGCGCCCCTAATTCTTACAGATAGTGATTCAATCATATTGGCAAATAACGATGACATCCCTTTCTCACATCTCTGGAGAAAGATTTCTCATCTTTACAGAACTCTTCTGTATCTTTTCCAGTGGATGCTGGTTAATCTTTAAGCTTCTGAACTTGTTTCATGAACACTGTGAAGCAATCCATATCTTTTAAGCTTTGCATATTGCTGATGCCAGAAGAGGTAAAAGATGTCATCTGTGTGTATGTGAGTACTGTTACCTTCAGAAGGTCTTCCAGGTTTGAGTCTGTGCTCTGTTGGCTCCTAGTGCTGTGCTAAACCTTCACATGTCACATGACTAAAACCTTGTCTGGAGTAAAATTTTCTGTGACTGATGAACATTTAGTTGTAGATGTCAGTGGGTCACTACTCTGTTTTGGGGATATATTTTTGTAAGTGATAATCTTCTGCTTTGACTCTGGCACGTACTTTCCTTCCAGCTGAAGCTTTACCATGAGGCTAACAACTTGAAAGAGATTTCTGTGTAGGAGTACAACTACTCCTTTTTCTTTTTCCCAGTAGGAGCTGAACTAAAGAAAATGTCACCCACTTGTTCCCATTTAAGTTTGATACACTCTGGGTCATTCAGATAAGTATAATCTGCTACTAAACATCTGAGTGTCTTTGTATCAGATTTTTTCTTTTCAACTGGCGTGTTTCATCTTCAAATATTTTATATCAATTCCATTTAACTAAATGACGGCTTGAAAGAAGATTGAGCTTTTCTGGTTTTAGCTGATTTTTACTCTTATTCTGCTTTGCAATATATAGACAAATGACCCTGAAAAAAAGAGAAAAGAAATTACTAAAGAACACCAGCTGGGAAATAGTTCTACCATATACCAGCCTCAGCCCCTGCTATGCAGAGGGACCTATGTGGAATGTGTACGTTGACATTCAACACCTATTTCCTTGAGACACTGCTTTGTCTGTGGTGTGCTATGTTTCTCTTGGCCTTTTCTCTGCTAATGAAATGTATTTCCTGATCACTGCTATTTCCTGATTTTTTCTTGGCAAGGTGCCTGGTTACTGCGGAATCTGCATGAGCCAGGATGTCCTCTTGTTCTCCCCTGCTGGGCTGGTGAAGCTGATATAATTGCTGTGATCCCTTTAGCTTGGTAATGGGACACTTGGCAGCTGGCAGCCTACGCCTTGCCCTCTCCCCTCCTCGCTCCAGGGCAAGCTGGAGATGGAAAGACCTTTGTCGCTTTGGAAAGCATGTTGTGGCTTAGTGTTTTGGATATTGTTAAACGCAGATCAGCTGTGGGTTTATTCTGCCATTGTGATTATCTCCTATATAAGCCTTCTATCCAGCCATTTTCTGCTTTTCCTGTAAGCACGTACTTTGATCCACAGTGCCCTTGAGGCCGATACAGCGGCTTCACTGACATCCCTGGGTATTGGATTGGATCTTAGGTGCAGTATTTTTAATGCTGGAAAATCCAGCCATACATTGCTTCTCACAACAATCTCCTCTTTCTACTGAGAGGCGTGTTATGATAATGTGAACCATTGTATGTATTTTTACGTTTTCTTGTGGACTTGAGAAACAGTATTTCTCATCAAAGCAAGAGGAGTAGCATTAAAGAGAAGGGCATGTATTGTTCATTAATGCAGGAAATGGAGAAAGAAATAACCTTTATCTTTTGGGTTAAGCCCAAAAGTGTAATGGAAGTACATTGGCCTCAACTAAAACAGATTTCCTCACTTCTCGTTCACACAGAAGAATGTAGGAGCATCAGTCATCTTCCTACTTCAACCATTTGAAACTAAATGCTCTCCTTTTAGATGAAAAGTATCCATTAACAAGTGCACCCATTTACCTTTATAAATTTAACAGAAATGAGACTCCACTGTTCCACCCTAGGGATCGAAGAAGGGTTGAGCCAATGCTAAAGTCTAAATGAACCATCTGTCTTCTTAGTGGCTTTTGCAAACTCTGTCCTTCTCTGCTAACAGGCAGACTTGCTATGCTGGAGATAAACAGGGACTACAAATCGTGACTAACTTCCACTGCCAGGTTTTCATACTCCTACCACAGAAGCTGAGTAAAGATCAGATTTTGCTTACTGTCCCTCAAAGAGAGAAGCAAGGTTTTGGGATATAAACATGGTATTTATCATGTCCAAGTTCACATTACTATAGAAAAATCCATGCACTTTGTCCAACCTTGCCACTCTTGCTAAAACTGGTTTCACTCATCTTGTTTTGAAGCTTTTCACTTAGCCCAGGTCTTATAACTACAGAGGTGAACCCAAATCTGGCTTTATGAAGTAAAATATTTTCTTTCTTCCTGCTTTTCTTCAACCTTCCTTCACTCTTAGGAACAAGTATGGGGAGATTTCCAATCTGCTTTCTATTCACTATGCCAGTAGCTAGAAGACACCTGAAACATCTAACTTTGGGTTCCCATAGAACAGCTGTTGATACCCTAGATTTGCTTTGTAGAAAGTATGTATGTAAACTCAGTGGTCCTGGAATTTTACCTCATTCAGATGATTATTTTTCAACCTTCTCTTCCATGCCCACTTCTCCACAGAAAACTGTTCTTATCACAAAGATGAATTACCACGTTGACCTAGAAACTGAAAGCAATCACTTTCACAGCTCAAGTCCCCAAAGGGGGATTAACTTGCCCTTCTTTTAAGGAGCCAGCAGAAAGGACCAGATTCTCAGCTGTTACAAATTATCACATTCCATTGAACTCAAAGGAGCTACATTTATTTACAAACACTCAGAAACTGATTCAGTATTTCTAATACTGTCATGTTTATTCAAATCGTGTGTGTTTCAACAATTTGGCCAAAGAGCAAGATTCCACCAAACATGCTGTATGCTTTACCTTGAGACCTTAGACATAGGTAAGGCTTGTAAGTTCTGTTGTTGTCCTTTTACAGTAGGAATTAGAAACCTTTGAACTAACGCATTACTCTTCCTTCTCACATCAGGCGAAACCCACTCCACTTCCACCTCATCGCAGACGCAATTGCCAAACAGATCCTGGCGACTCTGTTCCAGACATGGATGGTCCCTGCTGTGCGCATAGACTTTTATGATGCAGATGAGCTCAAGGTAAAGAAAGACAAACACAAATGTTACTCATACCCTTCTGGTTTCATGTCATTCCTTTTTTATTCATATCTCTGGATTGGTGACCTGTGGGAGTCAATGATTGTCTAACCCACATGATTGTCACCCCAGTTACACTTAACTAAAAGATACTAAATGGCTAAAATCAGTGCAGTTTCTCCACAAATGTAATGTGTCATTTAGCAGCTTAGAATTTTACCTGTGATCAAGAGGATTCTGGTTGCCCAGGTTGAATTTTATCTGGTCACATTACATCTTGCTAAGGATGCTTCTTTATAGTAGCAATGGTAGAATCTTAACTGTCTTTTTCAATAGGTCCAAATCTGTTACTGGAAACACTCAACTTCCCTGCATTCCTTAAGCTGTAACACCCTAAGTACACACACTCTGATGAGGTATCAGTATTACATTTTGAAATAGCTGCCTTTTTTATCTGGATACGCTTTCAAAAGGAAGAATATGAAGAAAAAAAAGAGTTCCAAGGGGAAAAAAAAAATCAATTACTCATTAAGTTATTGTCTTTTCATAGTTAGAAGGTATAAATTAGATCACAGATGCACAGCATTGAGTTTGAGCTGCACGTTTTTTAGATGTGGAGGTAGAATGAAATACTCAGATTTTAGCATTTGGAGTTAGTAGCAATAATTTGTATGACATCAGACTGTTCTGAACAGCACCCTGAAACAAGAAAAAACCTCAAAATTTAGCATATCTCTGTGTTAATTAAGGGGTAAATTCAAAGCACACCATGTGGTAGAATCTTGGGTACAAAACGTTGTAGAAAGTGATGGAAAAGGGAAAAAATATCCTTGAGAAAAATATTTTGTTTCTAGCTGTTTTTATTCTTTTATTGTTCCTTCTACATGAAGCCATAAGCTGTTATTAATCTAATTAGTTAGAGATCTCCCTTCTGTTCCTTATAGCTTCATAGCAAGTAGGAGGTTTGTTCTTGTAGATCTTGTACTTGTCTATGTTACGAGTGCTTTTCTCCAAATTGTAGGGTTTTACAGTACCTAATTAGCCTCTCAGCTGGGCAAGGCAGACCTCTTAGTGTTTTTCCTTCTGGTCACTGGGGTATGGTCCAATCTAGTTAAGTAAATAATAACCAAGAGAGCTCACTTCAGTGATCCCTAACTTGCTGATTTATAGGCAAAACACTGTGCAGATATGAGGCTACAGAGCAAAGTCTTGTTTTGTCCCTCCACCTTCACTCAGCTTCAATTTTTATATCTAATGCAACACTGGAGTGTCTTGCATGTAACACGTAGGCTTTGGGTTGGGGACTGGATGAAGATACTGATGCATAAAATACATCTTTCCAGGTCTGCCAGTCTTGCTTAGAGCTCGTCATATTGCATACCAAGCAATTTCCCTGATTTCAGTAGCCAAAATACACAGTATAAAGTAGTACTCAGCATAGGTAAATGTGGCAAACACTGCCAAAGGACAGCAAGGAGTTTTAAATATAAATGGAGTTTTAAAAGGATAGGTGTGATGCTGGCTCATATCCAGATCATTCTGCAAGTTTTAGAAAAGAAGACAGAGGAACTTTTTACAGACAACTGTAGGAGCTCAGGTCATTTGTTCCTGTGTAGCCTCTAAAGAGGCTTTAATGATTATTTGGGGTTCATGTATTTCACCTGTACTCTTGGGAGCTATATTATTCTGTCCAGAGTTAGGAAAACATAGAGCTGATGCTGGAATGTTTGCTAGAAAGTCTACGTTTCTCTGAAGTGATCTATGAATCCAATGTTACAGTATATACTATGTTTCAGTTTTAATGACCCTCTGTAGTTCTTTTTTTAAACCTGTAATCAATACCAATTGCTGACATTTTAAAGGGTTTAGACTGAACAATAGCTTGAGAATTTTTTGTTTAGCATTCATTCACCAGTGTTTCATTGTTTTGGAACACATTTTAGCTGCTACAGAAAACATTTCACTTCATGTTTGGTTTTTTCCCTTTGGATAAGTATGAGATTCCAGCCTCTTATTTCTAATGCAGCAGGAGCTGGCATGTTATCTTCAGCCCTTAAGTCCTGGGAAAAGTCCTGCTCCTGCTCAAACATAATAAATATAAATAGTATGGATGTAATAATACATAAATACTATGGATGCTTTTTTTTTGTTTTCAAGTAGCTATTTAGAATTCAGGCAACACTTTTCCTCTAGAGTATTAACTTTTTAAAACACAGGATTTGGAGACCAGAATATTTGGCAATGTTTCTTAACACATCCTGCAGCTCTTAAAAAGCATGCTGTTTAGCTTAGTTAGAGCAACCAGTGTCCTGAAGGAAGGTGTAGAAAATAAGGCTCTGCATAGGTGTTGTTTTCTCTCAGGTTTTACAGGAGAACTGGACACTTCAGTGCAGGAAAGGGAAGACAGGGTACCACTGATTGTTCCAAAATTTCTAGGGCCACCAAACCAACATATCTGATATCTCTCTGCTGCTGAGAATTAAGCATGTCACTTGTTATTTTTAAAATTTAGAGAGTTACTTTTCTTTTTGCAAGGTGACACAGCTGTTGGTGTCATCCTGCACCAAAAAGAGCCTATGTTCATACTTTCCCTAGAGGTGGGTGCTGCCAAACTAACACCAGCCTGTTTGGAAGAGGGATAGAGGACAGGAAAAGATAGGCAGGGAGAAGTCTTTGTTTGCTTGAGGCACATGATAGTGCAAGGGGCAGAAGAGGAGGAAACTTGGCTGTGGAGCTGAGCCAGAATACAGCATTTCCAGGAAAAGGGTCAGACACAGTTCAGACAGGAGCTTATGGGATATATTTCTTTTAAACAGCTAATTTGATGATTGTAACAGCCAGTTCTACTAAGATGCTTGTAACCCCCACAGCATAACTGGGCCTGTCTCCTCATTGCCTTGCCAATAACCACCAGGGAGTTCTGTGCTTAAAAGCTTTCCCTCGACTTAGAAGTTGTTCAGATTGTGAACTGCCAGTGCGACTCTCTCCCATTGACTCAACTTGCTACATGCAGTTAGTAATCAGCAATAAGCATCCTTGAAGTGTGGGCAGCTGATAACAGTACCAGTAATTGAGCCATTCCATAGCTGCAGACTTCATTCTTGTTCTACTCAGTACTGGCCCACACATAAGTCTTCCAAATTCGTATGGTCACACGGGCCTGTGACTACAAACTGGAAAGTTACTTATCAATGTAGATTCACTTTATGTGATCACATTATCTGGGTTATTCAGCTTCGGTCTTAATACAGTTGATTTAGGTATTACAGCAATGCACCCCGCAAAATAACTAGAAACTGAAAATTGTCTTCTTTGAACATTAAATAAAAGAAAAATACATACCTGCAAAACATTGATCTAAAAGATTCATTACAGCTGTGGCTTACAAATATCAGGCTGCAGGTTACTGTGTTTTTTCAGTTTCAGTTTTTCCAGAGTTAACAATTGAAGATGTGCAACACAAGCGCTTAGCTCCTGCACTTCATTATTCAACGTGGAATCTCATGACGGTTCACTCCCAAGGGAGTGTAGGCATTAAATCCATTGTGGTCTGCATTGGCCCGGAGCAGAAGGAGCAGCTGATAAAGCCATACTGTATGTGTGATGTGTGGAATACAGATGAGCTGAGTTTGTTTTCCCAGATGTTGCCTGACAGACTGCTGACAACATCAGGTGAACTGATGGAAGCAGAAGGTAGAATGCAGAGTTACCTGCTCTGCTGTGTGTGAATCTTGATGGCCCAGATAAATGTAGTCTTATCATCACTGGTAAAGCAGAAAAGCCATGGCCTTTAAATATTTCAGCCCACAGCCCACAACCATATGTGAAATTGAAGGTAGGGATGGTGAATAGGTTTTTGCAATAGATGGGCATTTGACCTATAAGTGAAGTGTGAAAAGCTCCCTACTATGTATGTGGATGATATTCCAGCTTTTACTGTTCCCAGAAAGAATAGACCACAAATCTCACTGCCAGTGCTGCCTTAGGTGATTGCATGTCAGAAATGTTGATGTTACCTGCTTACTCAGTCAGATCAGTGGTGTGATCCAGAAGGCAAAACCAAGCTGGCATAATGCATGACATAAGTGTCACCTAACTTTAGCCATTTACTTAAGCATGAGGTCAGTCACTCCTTAGCCATTTCCATCTGAAATGTGAAGGCAGTTCACTAGGTCAGACGTTGACATCATTTTGGTCAGATAGATGGCCAAAGACTATGAGATTTAAGCAGGAAAATCATGTTTTATTCTTTAATTATAATTTGAGTGTAGCTGGGTCTCAGAGCTGTGCCTGTGTGCATTCCCAGTGTGCTTAAGTTACTAATTCTCAGGGTGGTCCAGGAACTACCAGGCTACTTGACTTCATAGGTGAGATAAAGGGCTGGTTTGAGACAGCAGACCAAGTTGAAACCGAGTGATTGACTGTACTGCTGACCATCTGCAGGAGAAGTATTTGGTAGATTGTTGCAGGAGCTCTCCCAGTGGGGATTGCAGACCATTCTTGAGATTTCCTAGGCAGTCCCTGCTGTGCCTAGACCAAATTGTATGCTTAAATGTGTTGATTAACACATTTGGAGAATCTGGGTGGAGAATCTGATTGTCCCAAAGTTTCGCAGACAGTTCCTTCTGCGAAATTAATCAATTGTGCAAGGGTAAGACAATCAATAGAAGCAGTTCCTGCATGTGTAGAAATGATCATGTAGGACAGTCTTTGGTACATATTTAAGATAGTTAAAAAAATGTTTTGTTTGTAGGTTAAGATAGTCTACAGTGATGGATTGTGCTCATCCTGCAATGGTCATGTAGGACCACAGGCCAGCTGGATTGTTAAAATTGGACAGAACCATGTTTTAGGGATTGTCACCCAATCCACCTAAGATGCCTCTTCAAAGACTCCCTTCACCATCCAGACAGCAAACAAGTGTCCTGTTCAACAGATTGCATTGTCCATGTAAGAGTTATCCTAAGCCAAAATCCCAATTCTGTTAGCCTTTTTAATGTATG